ATGGATAATGCCAGGGTAATTACATCTGTAAGTATGGATAATGCCAGGGTAATTACATCTGTAAGTATGGATAATGCCAGAGTAATTACATCTGTAAGTATGGATAATGTCAGGGTAATTACATCTGTAAGTATGGATAATGCCAGGGTAATTACATCTTAGGAAGGATAATGCCAGGGTAATTACATCTGTAAGTATGGATAATGCCAGGGTAATTACATCTGTAAGTATGGATAATGCCAGGGTAATTACATCTGTACATATGTAGAGTAATTACATCTGTAAGTATGGATAATGTCAGGGTAATTACATCTGTAAGTATGGATAATGCCAGGGTAATTACATCTGTAAGTATGGATAATGTCAGGGTAATTACATCTGTAAGTAAGGATAATGTCAGGGTAATTACATCTTAGGAAGGATAATGCCAGGGTAATTACATCTGTAAGTATGTAGGGTAATTACATCTATCTTTTCTTACTGTGTTAGTTGTAACCACTGATGACTATCAAGCAGACCAACATGACATGGAAACGAAATATAACAATAATGGAGGAAATACCCAAAAAAGACAGGTGCTCTTTTTGGTCCTAGGAATAGTGTTAGGAGTTATGCTTCTTGTACTCTTTGTGTTTCTAATTTTGTGTATCATCAGGCAAAGGCAAAAGAAAGATCTCACAAAAGGTGAGTTCATACTCAACTCGGATATTTTGTTTAATTTGTAATAATGGAACTAATAACCACTAGAGTAAGTTAGTCAATATAGTGTTCTAAAACAATTATGAAAAGGGTGAATAAAATTATCATAAAACACTTTATTGTATTGAAGTGTACTAGAGTATTATCATATGTTAATAGCTTGCACTGTAATTTGCATAACTTCTATAAAAGTAGTCAGTCATACTATTCCTAGCAGTAGTGTGGAGAATGCATTAATAAGTCCCATAACAGATATATCACATGACAAACTTGTAGAAATCAGTTTTGGCTGATGAATACTACTCCATATGACAGGAGACAAAACTTCATGTTTCAGAAGGAGCTGTATGGGAACTTGTACTGTTGATTATAAAAACAGTCAAGATAGAAATACAAAACTCATCAAAAGTGATGACAAATAACTCTTTATGTAATACACGACGGTCTAATAGACTGTAAGCTCAGGTTATCTTCAGAATGGTAATAAGTATACATCAGCATGCAAGGATATGTGGCTGCTCAAATACCACCGTATAGTAGAAATAACCAAACTTTGTAAATGATTGAAACTAAAGGATGGTGCTCTTTACACATGGCAACTATCGATTAGTGGCAGAGAGGAAAAATGGTAACATAAATTATCAATACATGAATTGGCTGCATCTCAGCCAATGGCACTGAAGATCTACTAAACAAAATTGATGGTACCCTAACAGCTGACTGGTACTACAGATTCTTATCTATCATGTCATATTCCCTCAGGAAAAAGACACTTTCTCAGAGATTTATTTTATAGCCAGACATTGATTCCATGTATGCAGCAAACGATGTCTAAAAGATATAACAAAAGACAAATGGAACATTCATAACCCTGACTTGGCACAAAATCCAATATGAATATTATTAAGGCTGTATACTTTATGTGGAGTTTTTCTGCTCTGTTTAAAGCAAATACAAATATTAGGTCATTATACAAGTTATCAATTTTTCATTTCTGTTTTCTGTAATAATGTATTGATGATGAATTGATCATTTATGTAGAAATGTTCATTACTTGTTTCTACTGTATATGTATCACTCGTACATTACTCTATATATAGATAGATACTGTTAAACTTTTTAGAATAGAATGCTACAGCAGTCAACGTGTACCTCAACAGTTTTGGTTCTGATTTATACAATTGTTTAGAGTTTATTAGTGATGACTGAAATCCTTAATTAAGATTTATTTTTTGTTTTTTTAATAACTTTAGAAACTATTTACATATCTCAGTATAAAATTACATTATTATATTTTAACTTACACTTACGTGTTTAAAGTAAAAACCTTGATTGTAACATCTCTGTTTTCTGTGGGAAAAGGTATTTTAAATATTTTAGTTACAAAAAACTGAAAATTATTTATTAAAGAATGCTAAATGTACTTTCTGTAATGTTAGCTGGTCACGTCTACAGTCGGAGTAAGTATTTGTCAAATGGCCATGTGATTACTGCAAATGGACACATCCCAAGTGAAGAAATGGTCAATGTCAGCATTAATCCTTTGGTGGAACTCAACACTGATGAATCTGTAAAAGCTTTAGAAGTGAGTTTAACATTACTGGTTTCACTATTGCATCATATTGAGTAATGTATGTTTCAAACCTAATTTAAAGAACTCACCCTCAAAACATGTGTAAGGAACTCTAGTAGTAATAAATGGAACTAAGTGAAATATTGGTGGTATTTTTGTGCATAAATAGTTTAAATTTTTTCAAAAGCCTATATGGTTCTATGGATTTAAATTTGAGCTGGGTAAGTTACTTATCCTCTATTCAGCAGTTCAAATTGGAAAAAAAAAGTTGGCAGATGTTACCAGCCAGTTGTTATCCCTTTAGTCAGTTATCCCTTTAGTCAACATTTCAGATGCTGCCAGCCAGTTGTTATCCCTTTAGTCAACATTTCAGATGTTACCAGCCAGTTGTTATCCCTTTAGTCAACATTTCAGATGTTACCAGCCAGTTGTTATCCCTTTAGTCAACATTTCAGATGCTGCCAGCCAGTTGTTATCCCTTTAGTCAACATTTCAAAATTATTGACAATGGCAGAAAAAGGAAAGGACAAGCAAGTCTGGTGATAACATTTTGGTTATTTGTATAGATGGAATAATAAAAAATAGCTATGTAACTGAAATGGTCGGTACTAGGTGAAACTCCATAATTATAGACTTGGAAACCCTAATTTTGAATAATCAATTTTTAGAATAATAAAAAACAGTAATAATCAGAAACACTAATTTCATTTATCAATTAGTTTACATGATGCTAATCGTCGTAACTGATTAAATCAGCCAGCTCTAGTAGAAATGTCAAAAGAACATGTTTACAAACTTTCAATACTATTTTAAAAGATGTTATTCATCCCAGTAGTCAAACTTTTTACTCTCTCTAGTTATTTAGAAATTATTATTTACTATTAAAGTAACAACTAAAATCACGTAATTATATGCTATAATTTTCTTACCCTGCAATTTTTTCACTGCTTGTATTGATAAACTTCAAAATTAATTTGCAAGATTGTCAGTTGTAGGTTTAATTTTACTTGCATTTTAAACAAACATCCAAAACCTAAAAATTCTTGAAAATTTGACAGTGCATAACCTATAATAAGGAACCTGGGAAAAGATAAAATTAATTATCATAGAAAATATAAATTTATTTCTATTTATATTGTTTAATATTTTCATTATTTGATATTTTCTTTATATATTTTAAAAATGTAGCATTTAAAATTCAGTTTCAAAAGCACATGTTACATTTCTTAATTTATTTCTATTTATATTATTTCATATTTTATTTGTATATTTTAAAAATGTAACATTTAAAATTCAGTTTCAAAAATAGATCATTCTATATAGTACATTTAGATTTTGCTAAATAAATCGAACAAGAAAGTAGAATTGTTTTCTAGAATCAGTACTGTTGTTTGTGCACAGTATTTGGATGTAAAACATTCTGCAGAAGTTTTCATTAATACATATTTTGTTTTAATAAAAAGAAAACATTTTAGTGAATATTTTTAAATATAAACCAGGTCAGATATTCCAAGAAGGAAGAGTATTTAATGTTTTTGATATTAAACTATTTAGGGCTAATGTGATTTTAAAACCCTAATATTGTAGGGTTTATTCATCATACATTCTCGTATAATATTATTAATTTTTGTTTTTATTCTTACTATTGTATATTGTACCTCACCCAAAATTTGTTTCACTTTGCTTCTTTAGTTCATAAGTAATTTAAAAACTTACAGGTCATAGGCTTCTTTACAGAATCATAACAAAATTAAATCTGTTAGTAGACCTGCATGAAATTAAAATACTTGTGTAAAAATGTTTTTATTTTGAAGTCACATGTATAATTCAATGACTAGTCCAATTTTCCAAGAATACATATTTTAAAACAATGAAAATCATAGTGCCTGAGGCATGTCTCGGAAAAGTTTTGTGAAAGAAAAATCTGATATTGAAAATGGTAAAATAATCCTTTGTCAGTATCAGTTGTATCAGGAAGAAATTATGTTTACGTCTCAGTAACCGTGTGAATGTGTCCATGCACTCTCTCTCACACACAACATTCATAATGCCATTAATATTAGCATATTTAAGCTATATTGATAACATTATATGTTCATCTTGTTTTGTTGAATTTACAGTTTAGTGAAGTACCAAGTAACAACAATATGAGGAACAAGAAAGAAAAATCTGGGACCTTACTAAGTGAGTGGAAATAAATTAGTTGAAGTTTATTAGCTCAAATCAAAATTTCACTTGAAAACTGCTATGATGTTAAAATATCATCAAAGGAAAGAGAGAGAAGCCAAAGTTATTTGAGAGTGAGAAGTTTTAAATTTAAATTACTGTTCTTTTATTTAATGTAGTTTCAAACTGATATCGATGGGAAGGGTATAATTCCACAGGTAAGTACTGCAGAGAGCAGAGTATTGGTAGTGTTTAGTATGCAAGGTTTGTAAATCATGTTCTTGATCATCTTTATACTTGTTAAACCTTTTTTTCTTTACTTTGACTGATTAGAACTTATGTCGTCTATTACATCAAATTAATTATGTATTGAAGAAGGAAGCTAGAAATGGTTGATTAATTATTTATTAAAGAAGGAAAGCTAGAAATGGTTGATTGATTAATTATTTATTAAAGAAGGAAAGCTAAAAATGTTTGATTAATTATTTATTGAACAAGGAAAGCTAGAAATGATTGATTAATTATTTATTAAAGAAGGAAAGCTAGAAATGGTTGATTAATTATTTATTGAACAATGAAAGCTAGAAATGTTTGATTAATTATTTATTGAACAAGGAAAGCTAGAAATGTTTGATTAATTATTTATTAAAGAAGAAAACTAGAAATGGTTGATTGATTAATTATTTATTAAAGAAGGAAAGCTAGAAATGTTTGATTAACTATTTATTGAAGAAGGAACCTAGAAATGGTTGATTAATTATGTATTAAAGAAGGAAAGTTAGAAATGGTTGATTAATTATGTATTGAAGAAGGAACCTAGAAATGGTTGATTAATTATGTATTAAAGAAGGAAAGTTAGAAATGGTTGATTAATTATTTATTAAAGAAGGAAAGCTAGAAATGATTGATTAATTATTTATTAAAGAAGAAAAACTAGAAATGGTTGATTAATTATGTATTAAAGAAGGAAAGTTAGAAATGGTTGATTAATTATTTATTAAAGAAGGAAAGCTAGAAATGATTGATTAATTATTTATTAAAGAAGGAAAACTAGAAATGGTTGATTAATTATGTATTGAAGAAGGAAAGCTAGAAATGGTTGATTAATTATTTATTGCAGAAGGAAAGCTAGAAATGGTTGATTAACTATTTATTGAACAAGGAAAGCTAGAAATGGTTGATTAATTATGTATTAAATAAGGAAAGCTAGAAATGGTTGATTAATTATGTATTAAATAAGGAAAGCTAGAAATGGTTGATTGATTATTTATTGAACAAGGAAAGCTAGAAATGGTTGATTAATTATGTATTAAATAAGGAAAGCTAGAAATGGTTGATTAATTTATTTTATTAAAGAAGGAAAGTTAGA